CTTGTTGGACCTAAGCTCGCGGTCGTTAGTTATTTATTCCCCTGGGGCGCCCTCGGGTCATTGCACATTAAAATACATCCATATGCCTGTATTTATGGATCTGTCGTCTAGTCATAAAATAAAGCCGGAATTGTAGAAATGTTAATAATTTTAGCTATTTTGAGATTTAATAATCTTTAAAATTGAACCCTTCAATGACTGTATGAGGTAGGAGGTTTTTTTATACAAAGCCTTTTAAATTTCTTAAACTTTTTAAACAACATAAAACATGTCCAAATTGCACTTAAAAACGTATAAGACGTTGTATAATGGCCAATAAAAATGAGTTTATGGTCTTTTGCGTATTGTTAATAACTGAATAGTTCCAGTCTATCGAAGAAACAAATATACCAGTATCATTTTTCGGATTGTAATTTAATATTGAAACCAATACACTCATTAAGTTATTAAACCAACTAAAAACACATCACTATCCATTTGCTCATTCGACTAAGTGATGAAAGCAGATGTTTGTAACATAAATTCTTAAATATTAAGCATAACCCTTCATGATATTCACTGGTCCCCACTTGGTTATAAAGACGTTACGTTTTTATAACAAAATGGACGAACCTCCGTCGGAGGAAATTGTTATTTTTTATCATTTTCACCAAGAAAGAGGTCGATTTGTATTCAGATATTTTACCCTCGTGTTAAGTTAATAGCATTTGGTTACTGAAAAGCGAATCAGTCACGGGTACAGTATATACATCCAAGGGCTCCAATAATGGACTGAGAATTCCTCACTTCGGCAACCAGGACGTTAACAGGCCATAACACAAAGCAACCAAGAGGTTTTGAAATTCACCAGATAATGTCCTTGTTGCTGAAGTGAGGAGTTCTCACTCAATTATTGGAGCTGCTGGATATGTTTGCTCGTGATTGACTAGCTTTTCCTTAACTGGGTGTTATTATTAACATACGGGTAAAATATTTTGATACAAATTGATCACCTTCTTGGTGAAAATGATGAGAACTAAAATTTCCTCCGGCGGAAGTTCATCCATTTTGTAATAAAGACGTAACGTCTTTATAACCAGGTGGAGACCAGTGAATATCAGAGAGCGATATGATAGATAAACGAATGCATGGTACAAACATCTGCTTTCAACACAAGGTGGGGACCAGTGATTTTGATTTGATATATAAAAGTAGATCTGACAGCAACATATGAGTTTGGTACATTTGTGTACATCACCTAAATCACGATAGTGCGCAATTAGTAACGCAAACAAACAAATAGACAAAAAAACAAATAAACGAACAGACAAATAAAGAAACAAACAAATGGATGAATTAGATAATAAAATAAATCAAGGCTTGGACAATTTAATAGAATTATAAATAATAATAATGATATTTTGCAGATTCCCCTTTTCAGGCTAAATCATCAGGAGTTATTGGAAAATACGGCACAATCATCTTCTAACACAGCTTATTGCGAGGTCTCCGTCCCCATCAACATTAAATATAATCAAAGGAAACCTTGAAAAATGAAGTTTAATTTTCCTTCAATAACATGTGGATATTGTCCTACCCTCGTAGCTGATCTTATTTTCTTTGTTTATAAGGTCGGTCAGTCAATATTAGAACCAAGCGTCCGGGTCTACATATACGAGTGCGTTTGTTTGGAAGATGTTGCATACAATGCCAGCATCTGTAACGACCTGAAGAACTTCCCAATGTTTGAAGAAGAGGTGGAGGTCATCACAGCCAAGTACACAATGATCTATCGTCTTCTTTTGAATTCACCCGCTTTTGTACTGGGGTTATTTTGCGGAGCTTGGTCGGACAAAATTGGTCGGAAGCTACCTGTTATGATTTCATGTTTTGGGACGATAATTGGTGGACTGTCATACATGATTTCAACATACAATACAATCCCTTCAGTTATGTTTATATTGTTCGGCTCGGCAGTGATAGGAATGTTTGGGAAAAGTGCGGTCATTACGATGGCTGTTCACAGCTATGTTATTGATGTGAGCGAAAAGAAAGATCGTACTAAAGCGCTGAGCAGACTCTTGGCAATGAACTTCTTTGGAATGTGTATTGGGTCAATTGTTACCGGGGGATTGATTGAGGCTGTCGAATTTACCCACATATTTTTAGCAGTTATGCTGATTAATTTGTCAGTTGTTGTGATAACCGCACTTTGTATGAAGGAAACAGTATTTGATGGGGAGGGCGAAAGACCAAAATTTGAATGTAGCATTTTTAATATCTCGTATATCCGGGATTCTGTTTATGTCCTCTTTGACACTCGATCACATCACCTACAAACGTATTTGTTGGTACTGTTCGTAACAATTTTGCTCCAACAGACAGCAAAGGCTGGTGAACAGGATATAACTTTGTTATTCGTAGAGCATAAGCCATTCTACTGGGACAAAGCTTGGTACGGATACCTTCTTGCCGTTGATTTTGCGACCTTTGGAATTTACTTGTTATTCGTTCTACCTTTTCTAACAAACGTGCTCAAATTGAATGATGCTACACTTATAATGATAGGAATTGTGTTCAAAATATTGAGATTAGTTCTTATGGCATTTGGTACGAAGTCATGGATCATCTATTTAGCATTTGTGCTTGGTTCGCCATGCGCTATGATAGTGTCAGGAGCCAAATCCATGATCAGTAAAATAGTCTCGGAAAAAGAAATTGGAAAAGTATTTTCCTTGGTAGCATGTGGCGAAACTCTATCTAATCTTATGGGATCATTTTCATTCAATAGTGTATACATAGGGACCTTCACGATGTTTCCTGGAATTACGTTTCTGATAGACGCTGGGTTGTTTCTTTTTCTTCTTCTGGGTATATTTCTATTGCGTCGAGATATGCGTCTGATTGCCATGCAGCCGAAGGTAAGCCATACAACCGAAGGTAAGCCATACAACCGAATTTGGCCGATTCAATCTGACGGAGAATGCCGAGCCCCTATTTTTGACCAATTAGAGATGTCCTCTTCACATTCGTCGTACCCTCGGCCAACTTCGTTTGCAAAGAAAAGCTTCGGCAATCTTCGGCAATCTCCGCGATTTACCGCATGATTATGTGTTATGTCATGAGACGCCAAAAGGCGATTTGCCGCACGATTATGTGTTATGTCATGAGACGCCAAAAGTCGATTTACCGCATGATTATGTGTTATGTCATGAGACGCCAAAAGGCGATTTGCCGCATGATTATGTGTTATGTCATGAGAAATGTTGTTATGAAATAAACATATTGTTTAAAAAATCACATATCACTCAAAACTTTGATATACACATACATGCTTGAAAAAGCTTTTGTGTCAACACCAGTAGTTGTTATTGTCTTAAACTTTTTTGTGGACGGTGTTCAATCGAAGCAGGAGCTAGAAAAAACACGAATGATTTTTTAAATTGTTCGCTCTTAACTTGTTATTTCCTCTGCAGCAGTTCTGCAATGCCATCACTTGGTTAAATGACTTTATTGTAAATAATACAAACATGAAAAAGAAACTTACAATCCATCTGGGAAGTTCATTTTTCTGTAGGGTGCCTCTTCATCTGGACGAGATATTGATTGTGTATATAGCTCTTTACACAGGAATATAGATATTTGTAAAATGCAACCTTAGAACACTCAAGATACTTTTACACATAATTTTACATAACTTTTATATAATGTGCCACTTATATTAAAAAAAACTTTTGGAATTGGGTAATCGTATATTATTGTTTGTTTACATTTTAAATGTATTAAAATTATGCGGAAATGAATTACAAATTGATTTGAGCATGCTGTACGGCAAACTTTTTTTTATCGAAGATTATTATGAGCCTTTTTAATTGGTAAATATTTTTATATCGTTATCTCGAGTATCAATTCGTGTTATCACCCTTGAATCATTTTATCGGGATAAAGGTGGTTCCAAGTGCCTTTTAGGAAAAACACTCCATATAAAGTATAAATAGTATAATACACTAAAATAAAATAAACATCCATGGTACGATATGTAATGTTGAATCAAGATGTCACAACATCAGTGGATGCAGTTTATATTCTTCCGCTGTGAGAACCAGTTGAAATACTCATCAAGCAGGCAAAAATAGATATCAAACCAAAATAAACAAACAATTTATGACATATATGTAATATACACTTTTAAACCAGGAAGTAACAAACTCATTATATAAAGATGGAACATTTCCGTATCCGATGAAAGGACAGTCGGGACTCAATTAGGTAGGTCCAAATTTTTACAAAATATTTTTGCACAAGATATACATTGTAAGTTAGTAAATGATTTGAAGTGTAGTACAGGATTCTGCTCGAGAAATTCTGTATTTGCACGAGACAAGGTCGATATAAACTATGTCGACGCATACCATACGCAAGGAATAAACTCATAAACGCAGAAAAGTTGTTCAGGAAAAAACATTCTAAAATTTTAGTTCTCATTGAATCCAATGGAACATACATACTTAAAACATCATAAAAACGTATTCTAAACATAGATATAGGCCAACAATGTTGCATTTGAATTCATCAAGATATTAATTCTTCTCTCCCTATAAAAGTACATACAATTGGTACTTTCTGGCAAAATACACATTTGATTAAGTTAAGTATAGTTAAATTACGTCACCAATACTGTAATTTACGTTCCGTTTGTAGGCGAACTCAGATATCGACGTACCTTTTATAGGCTACTCCTACCATCACAAGATGTTTTCTCGCAAAGAAAAAATAATTGTTACACCCGATGTCTCAGCTGGAGAATTGAACGCGGGGTATGAAACACTAGAGCGGGACCCTTCCAAAGAACCACACTACGAAGTGCTGCATGATGTGCGTAATGATCATGAAAAACTTCCGATACCAAACAATGTCAGCCCATTGGAACAGGTCCAGAATTATCAGAATAACCAAACCCCAGTAGATTTAGAAAAGGCAAATTCTCGAAAGAAAATTCTCATTTGGTTTTGGCTAGGCGCAATAGTTACCATAGCAATCATTTTAGCTATTGTTAGTATCGTAGCGGCGACGCATGTGCAAGAGGTACAACCAATCCCAGCGCCACCTGACATAACGCCGACAATGTTCCCTCCTCCAAAGATTGGTAAGTTAGGATTTAAGCACTGAACTCAATGCTTTGTTTGTAGAATAAATCACTCGTGAGTTTTCCCTCCCATAACCTTTGACCGAAGGTCAACACCACCAAACATGAAAAATGGATGATGGATACTGATGATAAAAACAAGTTTTTCTATAAAATTAAAAGGTTACATATTGAAATTAATTGAATTTGTGATACTAACATCTTATAAGAGAATAAGAATATCACTTCATTACTCACCGAGTTATTTTATGTTTGTCTTGGTATGATTTTTCGGGACACCCTGTTTTCGGAAATATTTATTGAATTGACTTTTCTTTGACAATTGAAATTATAAGTATGCCTTGTGTCTTAACTATGGTTATATCTATTCAGTTCACTATGCGACGTGGACTACGTGGGAATCATGGTCCGATTGCTCTACCTCTTGTGGAAATGGAACTAAATTGCGTTCGAGGACATGTAAAATACCAACAAGAGGAACACAAAATGTTATAAAGTGCAAGGGGGATTCTTCACAGATACAACAGTGTACTCTCGGCTTGTGTCCAAGTACGTAAAATTCTTTTCAATTTACGTAAAATTCTTATCAATTTACGTAAAATTCTTTTCAATTTACGTAAAATTCTTTTCAATTTTATTATTAAAAACAGTTGAATCAAAATGTTTGATGATTTGGTTTAAGACGTGCGCGATGCTCTCGTAAATCTAACCTTAGCAACGTAATGGTAAAAGAATCAAGTTAATGATTGTTAGCTAAATAACGTACGAGTAAACTATTAGTTAAACGTGATATGTAAGCTCATTTTAGTGCAGTTGGTATTATAAGATGCAACAACAACGTTACACCCGTTTGTAAAATAATTGCTTAGTAATGTTTCAGCTTTTTTCGCAATGTGCCACTTTAATGTTCATTATTTCTTTTCTCATACAGCGTGTACATACAACTGTACTGATGGCGGTACAATGAACGAAAACTGTACATTGTGCTCATGTCCCGGGAACGTAACATTTATTGTAAGAACACCCGAAGGGGTTCCTATACAAGGAGTCAACGCCCATCCTGTAAATGTTGCCTATCTGACGTTGGGTGTTACTGATGCTAATGGTATGCTTTCGACAAGTATGATTTGTCCAAGTGAACCGATTGTGTTCACAAAACATGGATTTGCTGACGCCTTTGATAATGTTGGTTCAGATACTCTGAAGAATATAACGATGCACAAATTAGGTATTATTGAATTTTTTAACCTTAGACATAAACAAATGTTCTGATCGTGATTTTAAATAGTAAATAAGCACAAATCAAGGACAATATACTTGTATAAATATCGACCGGAAAATGAATGATTAAAATAGGTACAGACTACAGACTACAGTCTGTATAGTTTTTGATTTTATTTTACAAAACGCCCATCGTAATATCGTAATATGTACGTACATTTGGAAGAGAAAAATACAAAAACAGCAACGATCAGTAACATAAAAGAGAAGATATATTCTTAAAGAAAACAAGCCCCAATATATAGATCTGTAGATATGCTAAAGCGCAGAAAAAACTATTACTAAACTAAACTAAACTAAACTAAACTGTTATTTATGACCATTTTCAACATATCTTGAGTAGGTCTAACCAAGTAATTTCATTTTAGGTAAACTTTTTATATTGGCTGAGCCTAATGACAGATCAAGACTCGTCGGGGAATCAGTGACATTTGTTTGTGAGGCACATGGAAATCCACCGCCAGCGAGTTTTGAATGGTAGGCCTTCACATTTTATATCAAACGATGCTTGTTTGTGCCAGAGCTTAAGTAAGTAATGGATAATGAGATAATAAACTGAAGCACATTTAACCTTGTATACTTCAAAGTACACATTAACAGCCAAAACACAATAACGCCATTTACTATGAAATTTTATATCGTATTCATCAAACATTGTGCCCAATGATTTAAAATGAAATAAAACTTGTTCTTAATCTGAAATAGGTTCCTGGATGATGAGCTTGTCGACTCTACCATGGTGACGTCAAATTCAACGTACAGTGAGGTTGTGTTTAAGAACCTGACGCTAGAGCACAGTGGACCAATTCGCTGTAGAGCAAACGGGCACGGGGTCAACTCGGCAATTTATTCAAAATCTGCATCGCTTAAAGTCAAATCCGGAGGTAAAAAACATGCTTAGGTTATAACTGACAGTCCCCATTGGATGGAATAGTAAACCCTATTTATGGTCGAGTCTTAATTTTGTTCCTCGGTTGTAATAAGTCGGTCATTTATGACAGCAAATATGAACTTATTGCTAACGTGAAAAGGCTTTAACACGTGGTCCAAAGAAGACTCCTGTTTGCCAAATTCTGTAAGTGTAAATCTGTCATGAGAAAAGTAGACCCTATATATCCCAAAACCATGATCTAACGTGAAAAGAAACAATAACTAACACCCCCTCCCCCTAGCCAATACTCATTACATCAAAAATAGTTGTAGATACTAGTACTCATAATAGATAGAGTATTTAGTCTCAAATTACCCTGCGTGCAGAGTCTAGTTAAACTACAGACGAAGCTCGAAGCTCTCTTTTAAGAAGTGAAGTCAAACGAATGCAAAGGGTAGTCTCAAATGATGTGGGATAGATAAAATCCAGTCTCGAAGTCCATAGGCAATTCAAAGGGTCAACATCCGTCAAACATCTATATACTTTTTTAGGCAAAAATGACTCATTCTGCGATGCTGAACCACTGGAGAAGTTAACAGATCTACCATCGGACTGTCCCCAAAATGGCTCACTTACATACAATGTCGGAACATGTGGAAGAGAACAGTGTAGAAAAGGATTACCCGGTGAAACAGAAGGACAATATTGTTGTGGACAAACTATGTCAGAGAGACGCACTTTGCAATGTAGTGGTTATTCAATTGATGTTTTTGTAAGTTTAGAATGTGGTTGCAAACGATGTCAACCTGGAATGATAGGGTTGATGTCTGGTAACAGTTCGTTTGAACCAAGAGTACGGCTGGTGGGGTCGGTTCTTGATAGAAGTACTAAACGACCCATCGCACAAACTAGTGTCTATTATCTTGGAACAAATATTGCGAACACAAGTTTAAGTGGACGTTTTTATCTTAAAATCCCAAAAGGTGCGTCTCGAATTACTGTTTCTGTGAAAGATCATTTCGCAAATGCATACTTCGAACGCACAAAAGTAATACACGTAAATCAACCATTTGGAACCATCTACGAAGATATAGTCATGACAAAGAAGTCTCGTGACAGCGTTGTAGCGCAATCATCAACAGGTATTCAGAATGTTAAAATATTAGGCAATGATATCGAGATGTCCCTTGATCAATTAGGCTTTTATTCTGATGGGGTTAAATACAATGGAAGTGTAGGTGTTAGTGTAAATTTTATTGATCCCCGTGATCCAAATGTAGATCAACTTGTGCCAGGTGATATGGTGTTCACAAACGAGGAAGGTGAAGTTGAAGATCTGAGATCATTTGGTATGTGGCAGATGGCGTTTGACGACACACAAGGCAATGACGTAGGAGTCCAGGGAGATGTTGGTATTCAGGTATCAGGAAACTACCTGGGTGCCACTGATAGAACACCCGTTAAACTATGGTCCATGGATCCGGACAGTGGAAGATGGCAATTTGAAAATGAGTTGAGGGCGACAGAGTCAGGGATAAAAGACACGCATATGATGAATACATTTTTCTTTGGCAACATAACTCTGCGTGGCAATTTCGTTTATAACTTTGACAGCCCATCAGTGAATTATTGTTTCATGAGGATCGAAACGTATACCGATCCAACCTTATCCAACGTCACAGACTGGACGCGTCAAAGAACGCCCGAAGCAAGAGTTGTGTCAGCTCAATCTTTACGTAGAGATGGCTCGGGCATGTCATTGACAGGCGCTGAAAGTTACATCGGTGGAACAAAAATAAAGACGAATCGTAATTGCATATTAACCACTTGTTCGGAAGAGCCTGGTAGTTCTGAATTTAACGGTTTTGTATTTGTAAATGGCGAGGAAGGTCCGTTCTCAGCATCACATACGGTGGGCGGTGAAGCAATCCCTGGTGCTGTGATTGAATTAGATGAACAAAATCGTACAATCGGTACTACAGTATCCCCTTTGACGTTGGACGGTCCAATCTATCATAGTAGCCAAACTGAATGTTTGAATCAATTAAGCTCCTTTTGTAGACGTTGTCAAGAAACTTACAATTTTCGCAAATCCAATCCAAGATGTATTCTCTGTGACAGAAACTCCTGCATGATGCCTTCGTCAGTTGCTTATGCAAAATGCTTGGGCGACATTGGCAATATAAAAGCTTCGCATTATCGATTTTATAAGAAAGAAAAGTCCCATTACTACGAATTTTCAGTTTGTAAACGATATGAGGACAGATGTGCTTCATCGCCGAGTGATTACCCTCTGATCTGGTACCCTCCTATTTTTGAAGATACGCACAAAGTTCGAGTTTGGTTCATTAAAATCAGCGTGAATGTCCCAGTGGTTCTCAGAGCAGTAAGTCATAAAACTAAATCTCATCAAGATGTCGATCACAAAATTTACGGTATGCGTGAAAATATCACAACTAACGGATTTGTCTGTTTAGAATTCAAGGCAAGTGGGAAATACGTGGTAGATATTGATGCTGAGGGTTACCCCACAACATGGGATACAGATGATACATTAGTTAAAATCCACGCTCACGGTCAGAGATGTTCAATAAATAACGTCACACCGGACCTAAGATTAAAGCAGGTTTCACATGTCACTCGGAATGCATTATATGCGTTTAGACTGGAAGCTAACTACCTGAACGCTGGTGACCACATAGGATTATACAGAGCCGAAGAAGACTATGACATACAACGTGACGGAAATCAACTAGGGCCTGAGAAAGCGAGGGCAGAAGCATTGGCAGCATGTCGGTGTTCAAGTCACAATGTGAAAACATGTGATCACATGGTACCTACAGGTGCTGGAATACACATTTCTTGCTAGCTTGAAGTTAGAATCGCACCTTCTTGGATAAAAATCCAATTATGACACCAAGATATCGAACTGTCCAAAGAATATTGTGAAATGGAGGTTGAGTATAAATGGAGTCCACAACACTGACTAACAAAGAACCTGGGGGGGGGGGGGTGGGGGGTTGGTGAAAAAAACGTTGAGATGCTGGCTGTATCGCTTGATTATAGACTATACTGATTAAATAAACTATTTTACCTATTTGTAACTCCCTTATCTACACGGGATTTTCCAATTTCCAATATACTGTAATCAAAATAGTTTTCATGTAAATAAAATTTAACTGCATTCTGTAAGTGCGTGTCAGAGATTAGAACTATTTGCATTATTAAAGTTGGTGCTAGAGACTTTAGAGATATATACATTTTTCTCATTATAGTGACTGCTAGATTTCTTCATAGTAGCTTCTTTAAAGAAAGGAGGATGTAACAATATTGATATACAGTGTATATGATTGTTCCATCAAATGTGTTCCCGGCGTCAACGTAAATATGGACCGTGCTTAATATGGTCCGCTGGAATATAAGTCCTGGAAAATAAAGTCCGGGACTATATTATCTAGAATAACAAGGCCGATGGACTATATTTCCTTAGGTATTTTAGTCCATTCGCTAGAATTTGATGTCCGGGGTGGACTATAAATACCAAATTATGGTCTCTTCAACCTTCATTCCGGACCATATTTTCCGGTAAAAAATGTCCTTGGGCATGTATTGAACTTTTCTTAAATAATATTTCATTGACATACAATGTAATACTGTTATTCCATATCGTTTAACCGTCACGTACTTGTTTAACTATCCTGAAACATTGTTAAGATATTTATATATTAAATTCAGCGGGAAAGTGCTTTCCATAGCAACTCGGAAACGGAATTCAGCAGAGCAATTCCGAGACAGAAATACCAAGAGGAATGGGGGGAGAGAATCACAAGTGACCAGCCATTTATCAACGTAAATCATCTTAGGTAAGTACGGTTTTCGTTGCCGATCGCCACCGTGTTCGTAAAAGTGCTCCGCTGAACCTGTGTCCGAGTTGCTAAGGCACATTTTTAGGTTATATAGACAGATGTCTAAATTCTTCTGTAAAAATCTGAATGATGGATGATAAATTAAAAAATAAGGAGTAACTTTAAGAGTAACGTTTTAGAGAAAAAAATAGTTCTAATTATATTTCTGTTTCAATCTTTATTCGTTAATTTTGATCATTACATCATTACATTTTAATCATTATTCATCATCATTCATCATATCCGTCATACAAGATACATTTTCAGGTTATGCCCATCGATAGTTTGTTTGAGTTGTAGTCCCAGTTCATTAACTAGTTTATATTCATTTGATAGACTCTTCGTAATCATGTAGTGTCCCACCCAAGGATTCAATTTCTTCCCTCCTTGTCCCTTTCTCTCTGTCTTAAGTGTACTGGTCCCGATCTGGTTATAAATACGTTTTTTATAACAAAATGGATGAATTCCACAAAAGAAATATTAAACGGGCGTGTTGATTCCGATCGTGTTATAACCCGAATAATGGGGCAGATGCAATTAAACGATTAATTAAGGAAAAGTTGTCTCGGGGACAGAATTACCCGGATAATATCGTCTCCTGGACATGCATTATTAATATAAATCATCTAAGGGAAACTAAGACAAGAATAGTCAAAGACAATTTTAGTTTCATTTGATGCAGAATATGCTAAAAGAATAACAAAAATTAGACATGAGTGGGACTCGATCCATATCATAGTCAACAGTCAACACGCAGGAAACTGTCCTAACCACTACACCAAAGGTGATTGGACGAAATCAGCGTTTTTTAATTCGTAAATAATATCAGTAAGACATCTATACATTTAATATTGACATAACAGCTAGGACCAAAATCTAGCCGGACAATCTATTCGCTCACTGCTGTCAACGTATCTATAGTCCGTCAGTAAATATAGTCTGGAGTTATATTGTATACCAATACAGAAAATATGGTCCATATATATTCAGGGAGACTATATTTACTCTGACACCGGGTTTAACTACATGTGTTGTATTGCACTGAACGAAAAGAATATACTGCATTGTGGGTAAAATCTGAAATGGCTAATTCTCTACTAGAGGCAATCTGAGCGAGATTCCATTTTTTGGTTCGGTTTTTTAGCGCATGCGCATTGAATCACGCAATTTAATTGGTTCAAATTATTATAACGCATGCGTAATTAATAACTTATAAGAACATTTAATTTGAGATAGATGTCACTTACGTTCATTATTTCACAGCACTCCCTACCCACGATGCACCATATAGTCCGGGAATATTTTTGTTTAGTGCCAAAACAAAAAGTATACACCCAAAACAAATGTAATGACATAATATCAACCTGCCCCGGATTTGTAGACGTGTGGTATACAAACTTAAACCGAGCCGATGGCAGAAAAGCACTTTGAATCATGGGAATGAAGTACTTCCTTTAATAAAAAACCGAACCAAATAAAACCGAATCTCGCGCAGATTGCCCCGACTCTACACTAATTGTCTTCACTGAATGCTGAACACAATCTTAAAGACACCCACGTGAATTCCACTGCTCTTATAGAAGACACATTCACTATTCTCTTCCAAAAGATGCCTGTGCAAGCTGGAGTTGCTCTTGGTGTAGCAGCAATTGTAATGGTAGGATGTACGGTCATCGCGGTAGTGATGTTTAGTGGAGAAGTCGAATGGGAGATAAGCTTTCTCGGTTTCAAATTTACGGGAAAGGCGAAAAATAAGAGTAAGTTATACATTTATCTGTGTTGAACTGTATTCTTCGGTTTTAAAGTGTTAATTACGAACATTAGAGAGCTTTCTGTGTAAGTTATTTGTAATCAACTTGTACGAAAACTTGTGCTTCTGAATAAAACTACAAGGTGTTACATAACGAAGGCCATCAGTAAAAAATCTATAGGGAATCGCTAGCACAGATTGGCTTGATTAGTGAATCAAAATGGTAGTCAAAGTGTTTGATTAGATACTTTACATATCCAGCTTATCAATTTTGAATATAGATCACGGTTCATTGGTCGGTAAACCCGAGTACTGTATGTTAGGGTTTGGGTGTAGATCCAATTTATAAGTTTACACAATCATCGTGTAAATGACATTTTATACGTTCTTAACCTTATAATTATGTCAACTTAAACTTTTATAAGAACTGTGAAATAATCCACTCGTTCGTATGATGAACCACGTTAAAGGATCTTGTTTGTAGAACACTGCCCCACAAGAGCTTGGTATTGTAATGTTATGTAAATCAAGCTAATTAAACATTGGCTCCGTTTACTTCAACTATCCCCTGAAAATATTCTTCGTCAATCGTATATGTATGACCGGGAAATGAGTCAACTTGGTTTCAAAGACACATGGTCAAGTAAAATCATTGATGTTCTTTAAAAATATGATTCGTTTTCATACTGTCAAACTCAAAATAACTAAAAATATACATCAGAATTATAAAAACCAATGGACAGAAGATATATTCAAATACCCTGTTTTGAGAACTTATGTAAAATTTAAGAATATATTTGATAGTGAAATTTGAATATTCAAAATAAAACTATAGACAAGCTATTTCCAGGTTTAGTGTCTTAATGTTCACACAAGTTAAACATAGAACTTGGCCATTATGTAAAGCCAAAAACCACTAGCTGAACGGCAATGCAATGCCTGTAATATTTTGGAATTGAAGAAAAACAACATTTTCTAATGAGTTGTAGAAGAATACAGAAGAAAGAAAACTTTCTTTGATACCATTAGATAATTTAATTTTGTCGGCATCCCTGATAATATATTTAAACTTCTCATATTCCACAAGAATTCGTATGTACACTCCCCTCCATAAGTTTGGCAACCTTTTTCCCCCATTGAACTGCGTGTTAAAGCCTCTTTACGTTTGAATTTTTATTTACCTAACCGGCGATGAAATAACTTATAATATTGATCGAAACGTAACGTGACTTTATTTCCAATACCTCCAAATTTTCTAAATTTTTTTCCTCAATTACAATAGGTCGAAAATTGATGATAAATTTGATGAATTTTTGAAAATCGTCATTCCCATGTAATCCAATGGGAAATGGAGGGTTCGGGGCAAATCAGAAATCAGGATATATTTTCAGTAAAAGATTCAGCTAAAATATTTTTATATAGAAAATTGAATTGTCTAACTTTTTTGAACCCTAAGTGTTTAGTTTATTTGATGAATATTAAAGTTACAGCGCTGCAAAGTCATTTTTGAAAATAATTTTTCGCCTCCTGTGTTATTTCAATGGGAGAGGTTTTTTGAAAAAATTTTGACTTTAAAGCCCTATAACTTTGTTGAACCCGAAGAAACATATCAATTTTTTGTTAAATAAAGTTAGCAAATTCAATTGCCTGCCTAACTCGTATTATTTGCAAGGACTCGGATAGATGGATATTCTGTCATATGACTTGCGGCAAACCGACCATTTCCAATTGGTTAACATGGGATTGTCGATTTTCAAAAATTCATCAAATTTATCATCAATTTTCGACCTATTGTAATTGAGGGAAAAAAATTAAAAAACTTTGAGGCATTGGAATTAAAGTCAAATTACGTTTCCATCAATAGTATAAGTATTTTCATCGCAGGTTAAGTAAATAAAAATTCAAAGGTAAAGAGGCTTTAACACGTAGTTCAATGGGGGAAAAAAGGTTGCCAAACTTATTGAGGGGAGTGTAGTATTACACTTAGCAAAATTCACCTATCACTCATTCAAAAAGTTGGATGAACATTGTGTCAATGATACATCACACTGATAATAACATTTTCATATGCTGTATTTTAATCTAAGTTATTTTTGTTTATGGTATTCATTGTTACATGAGCTTACACGGTGATTTCATAACGTCACAAATATGGAATGATTAATGTTTTGGCTATATACAGTCCAGGAGTAAACGAATGAAACACATTAAATTCTCAGAAATTTAGCTGGCCATAAATATTGTTTCAATGACAGAACAGATTATCTTAATGTTTCAGTTTGAAATTCTATATCTCTGTTCATATGAGTATACTAGTAGATAGAATATCAGTATCAGCTATTTGAATGTGAAAGCAACTTTTAATAATTGTAGTTCAATGCAGAGTTTTTACATTTCAATTGGACCATAGGCATAGCCATGGGGGGGGGGTGCAATTGGTTATCGCACCCCCACCTCCCCCTCC